TGGCTTCTAACTTGTTTTTACAAACACGATCAAGCACCTCTTACATATTAAACCCTGGGCTTGGGCTGGGGTTGTGGCTCAGTGGTAGGACGCTCACCTAGCACATGCGAGACCCTGGGTTTGATCCTCAGCACCACATAAAAATAAATTAAAAAAGGTATTGTGCCCAACTACAATTTAAAAAAAATACTTAAAAAAACTGTGCTAGATGCTATGAAATATTTAATAAAAATGAGCTTGCAATAATTACGTAGTTTACTAAGCGTTTCTTTTGTGCCACAAATTATTTTCATCAGTGAGGTTGATGTTGTTATTCCCATTCTTTGAATTTGGAAACTGAGGCTGAAAAGCTTACTTGCTGCTCAAATAACACAGCTAGTAAAAGGCAGAGCTGAGATTTGAACTGAAGTCTTTCTTACTAAAAGTCTATAATTTAAATGGCATGCAAATGAGAAGAGGAAGAAAAACCTGAATGCAAAGGATACAAAAGAGTAAATGGCAGAGTTCTGAGACTGGACCAACGACGGCGAGTTCCAGAGCTCTAAACTAGAAGGCTGGAGTTGCTCTAAGGGCATGGCTTTAAAATTCTGTTTCAAGGTGGAGTCTGGGGCCTAAAAGTCTTCCTTATGCAGAAATCATTTTAACAAAAACAACATTCTAAAAGATTCATACAATTGAGAATGACTATATATCAAGGGAAGACAACTTGCTCTATGGTTGTGCTGGTGTAAGACTCCCTGGCTGTGAGATCTCAGGGCAAATTCATTAATATTCTGTGAACAGATGCTCATTCTAAGGATTTATCAAGCTCCAGACGTTGTCTAGATGATGAGGTGAATAAGATATGCTAACTGTCCCAAAGAAGTGCCCAGACAGGAGTTGATGAACCCAGATACGAGGTGTACTGTGTGGCTAAATGGCAGGCCTTAGTATCAGGCAGCATGGTTTCTGTCTGACTAGGTGTGCCACTGACTAGGTGTGAATTTGAACACACTTTTAAATTTCTTTATGCTTCCACCTCCTTATATGTAAGATGGGGATGACAGTAATACTGGCCTTACAAGGTGACTATGAGAAATAAATAAGTTTGTAAAACCACCATGTCTAGAAGACAGTGAGCACTTTACAACAGCTACTCTCATAATCAACTGGTGCAAAGTACAGAAGAGCTGGCTTGTCATGCTTAACATAGCTTTCTGATTATCTTTGCTACCTTCAAATATATTTGATATATTTTATGTAACTGACACTTTCCCAAGGGTTCTGTCCCAAAGAGACCAAATTACCAATGTATAACAGTGTGTGGGAAGAAAGCCCACTCTAATTCATCTTGAACACTTCTGAAAACATGATTTTATATACAGCCCATTTTACTTTGAAAGCCTACAAAAGAGCCTTCATAGGGCAAGAGAATGTTTCTTTTTCTTTCTTTTTTTTCTGCCTTGTACATTACTCTTTCATATTATTTGCATTTGACTGGACCTGACACACCTAAAATGGTCCAGAATTCTTGAATAATAATTATGCAATAAATATACAGAGTAGCTAGTGAAATGGTTAAGAGCAATGGTGCTATAATAAAGTAGATATGATCCTGTTTTTTCCATCTTCTAGCTATGACTCTAAATACTTTTATACTTTCTAAACTTGTATCTTCATCTGTAAAATGAAATAAAAATACAGAAATGTTGTGAAGAGATGATATGGTATGTGAAATACTTTCAGCACACTAGAACATAGTAAATTATTAATAAATGGAAGTTATAATTGCAAAAAGACATGAGTTAAGTAGATCTAGTAGCTTGAGTTCACTTTTAATTAAATAAGCATTTATTGTGCACCTGCCAAGTCTCTTACACTCTGCTACTTTCTGAGGGTACTAGATAAAGGAAATGAATTATGTGAATTCTCTAAAACAAAGTCTCTGTTTTTCACATGTCTATGACCCTAAAAAAAGTGTCCTGCAACATGTCCTCATACTGGAATGTGGGGCCCAGTGCCAGCCCTTTCTGCAATCACCTTATAGATGAGAATGTGAAGAAGGAGGAAGATAAACATGTAGAGAGGTGGAGATAGATTTGATTGAAAATTATCAGCTCTTCCCACAGAGGACAGCACCCACATGTTATAAGGATCACTCACAAGCTATATAAGGATC